GGAGGCCGTTTGCCGCGAGGACGTGCTGCGCCTCTGCTCCAAGCACAGCTGGGCCAACAACCTCGCCGTGCTCGAGTGCCTGCAGGACGTKCGCGAGGTGAGCGGGCCTCGCGGCGGCGGCGCGAACAAAGAGCCGGCGGGGCGGCCCGGCCGCCGGGCTGCTCCCAGGCCCTGCCCGCCTCCCTCCGCGCCCGCTCGCTCCTTTTCCCCGTTTTCTCCCTTTTTTTTTCCCCCCCTCTTCGCCTCGGTACGTTGCAGGCCCCGCCGGCCGCGGCGCCGCCCCCCTTCCCGCGCGGGAGCCCCCCGGCTCCCGTTTCGGGGGGCCCGGCTCCCGTTTCGGGGGGCCCGGCCGCCCTCCCAGCCGGTGCCGCCAGCACCCGGGACGCTCCCCTTGGGGCGAGAGGGGCTGCGGGGCCTCTTTGCGCGCTAAATATCTGCCGTGAACGGTAGGACGCGCTTCAAGAGGGAAAAAAAATAACCAAAAAACCCCAAATCCCCCCCAAACACCAGTTGTCTCCTCCAAGCCTTTTCTAACCCCATCTTCAGACCGTTGGCAGCTCTCCTGGAGCTTGGAGAAGCTTTTGGAGGAGCTGAGGAAAAAAGATTCTTTCTGCGTCCGTTTGGGTCTTCTCAGCTATGAAGTCCAGGAATGTCACGCTCTTCTCCGACTGTTCTTGTGGTGCTTTGCCGGCAGAAACATGTTTGGGAAGCACCGGTGCTYGTTTCTCCTTGGGTTTTGCGGAGGCAGCAGATGGCAGTGACTTAATAGTTGTGCTCACCAGGGAGAGCCTTGGGCTACTACATCAGTGGTTCCTTCCCAAAATAATTGCCTTTTTTTTTTTTTTTTCCTTTAACTTCCCACTTTCACTGCAGGCACATAGTTTCCCAACAAACTTATTAAATGAATCTCCATGCAACCACACTTATTGTGGTCTCAAAACACAATGGGATTTGCGTAGGGTCCCTTGGCCCTCACCCAGGCATCCTGCTTGCTGGTGCCTGGAAGGGACCTGCTGTGTGGGGGGCCTCTGAGGTGGTCCCAGCAGCTGCACGTTGGGGTTGCAGCCTCGCAGAAGGTCTTGGGACATCCCTTCCTCCCTTCCTCCCTTCCTCCCTTCCTCCCTTCCNTCCCTTCCTCCCTTCCTCCCTTCCTCCCTTCCTCCCTTCCCCTTTCTTCCCAGCTGTGTGGCCTCTCCTCTCTTCCCAGTTGCAGAACCTGGTGCTTTCCAACTGTTTTAGCCGTGTTGGTCTCCTCCTGGCTTGGCTCCTCGTTGGGAGAGTTTTGTTTGTGAGCTCTGTGTTTGCAGAGGGTGCAGGGASCAAGCTGAAGATGAAGGGAGGTCTCTCACGTGTTGTTTTTCGGCCCTTTGATATTCTTGTGAAGCTCTCCTTTCTCTTTTAAATGCCATACTGGTTGATACTTTTCATTTGTGGTGTTTCTTTCCCYTTCAAAGCTTGCCTGTGTCTCGGTGGCTTGGTGGTTGCTGATCTGATAGCGGTGTGGAAGGTGACGCTTTGCCATGGTGTTATCCCAGGCAGCGACAGGGTGTCTCGGGATCTCTTAGCGTTGAGGTATTTCTCCTAGAGTGCCTGTCTGCAGCCTGAAAATGAAGACTCTTCCTCTGTCTTTCAGTCTGTGAGGAACGTTATAAACTGGTCACAGACTTGACACTTTCTAAATTAAAAACTTTCAAATGTAATTTTTACCCTAGGCTGCCTGACAATTTGTACCATAGCAAAAAAAAGGTAGTTGTATCTGAAAACTGGTGCTCAGCAAAAGGCAGTGGCAAGGAATGAGTCTGTGCATGGTAAATTCAACTGTTTTCTAAAAAGTTGGAGTAAATGGAAAACTCTGGGAAGTTGCTGTGCGTGTGTGATAGCGTCAGTGAAGGGAATATTTGGACAGCACTTCCCTGCAAGGCAAGAAAGGCTGTAGATGCAATTTGGATGCAGAAGCAGCCCTTTTTTCATAGTTCTTTAATGTGATCGTACTTTTCTCACGCTAAATGTTCTTTCAGGGTGGTTATAGTTTGCAACTAAGAGCTTTTAAGAGCCCCAGGTGGCTTTTCTTCGTAGTGTGGTCCAGAAAAGCTGAAACGCTTTTAAATTGGAGCAAGTGGGCAGAGCAGCTCCTTGAAACCTTTCCTTTGAGTTCAGGAGCTATAGGGGACGGATGCGATATGARCACTGCATTTCAGTAGCTGCTGATTTTGTTACCTTGGATACCTTCAAAGTGAGTCTTCCCTGTTTATTTTTGCTGGGTAGTTCTCCTGAATGAAAAGGATCAGGAGTGTTGAATCCTTGGCTGACAAATCAGGAGCATCTCGTGGTGCAGATACTTCACCACTGATGTAGTGAACTGCTAATTTGGCCCAGAATGTCTCCCTCTCCTGCAGGTGCAGAGCAATCGTCTGCATTTCAGGTTGTTGAGCCAAAGGGTGATCTTACTTTATCACTTTCCCTATGAGAATGAGAAGGATCCTCTTAAATTGGAGGATACGAGAATCRGGAGTAGTTGGCTCTGTCTCTTGAAAGAGCAGCAACAGTTGTCGTGACTTGGGAGCTTGCAGTGTCATTTTGCTTAAAGCCTGCAGTTGTTAAGACCCCTTTTATTTTGTGTCCTCATTAAGCTAATTTTCATGGTGGCTATAGTGTAAATTACAAAATATTAATAATAATTGCTCGATATTTGCATAATTAACGATCCTTTGCATTTAAAGCAGAACTGAGCCCTTAATGTTGAATTTTGAAGTAGGAAGCGCTAGCAGATATGAAAGCATCTTAACCAATGTAGCTCCCTTTTTGACTTCTCGGGGAGCATAACTTTACTGTAAAAACATATTTTAAGCTGGTGATTCATTAAATTGATGCCAACATTGTTGAGCTTTACTTGCTTTGTGCTTGCAAAGATTACATAATACGTCAGCGTTTTTGTGGGATAGCAATAACAATAGATATTAATCTACATAACGTTCCCGAGGCAGAAGGGTAACTAATTTTTCTACCCTAAGACAGTTGTGGCTAAAGCAGGATTAGAGGTTGAGGTCTCGGCCTCCTGCTACTTTCTTCATCCCGAATGCTTGTGTAGCAGCTTTATGGCAGCGATGGTGTAATTGGGTGTAAATGCTGTACTTTCTGGAAAAATAGAATCCATCTTAACATAGAAGGCTATGTTGGGGCCAAAACAAGTTAGTATGAATTGTTTGGGGTTTGGAGAACAGTTGTGCTCATGCGTGCCTCACTGGGGGCTGCAGTTTCGAGTGTATATTTGAAACATCTGCAGCAGTGAATAACTGGTTACCTGCTCAAAGATGCGAGTAATTGAGGGTTGTGGATTAAACATAGCCCGTGGGCAGGTAAGGTTTTAAAACCCGCAAATTGTGGCCTGAATTGGCCATCTCCTTCCACGGTTATGGTTGATTTTTATGCCATTAATTCTGGGGGTGGTAACAGTCGGTCTCACTTGCAGGTGAGTTCTTCTGGATGAGGGGAACGCCTGGAAATGCACCGTGGGCCTTGCCAAAGGCTTCGTTCCCGCCTCGCTTTTTCTAAGGGAGACTGACTTGGTGATGAACCACAGGCATCTATACTGGGCCTTTATACAGGGAATGGGGGACTCGGTCATCCCCATTGTCAGAAAAGGGGATAATTCTCCCCCATAGTAGAAGCTGAGCTAAATAATAAAAAATGCAGTGCATTTCTTTTTTTTTTAATGTTATAAGTTAAAGACTTGCAAGCAGCAACAGGAGCAAAGTGGTGGAGAGGAGGCTGGAGCCGCCCCCGGGGCTTTTCTCCTAAGGCTTCGCTGCTTAGCCAAGATTAGCTCCTTTCTCATCCTTAAGCTCTTGATGTTTTTTTTTTCATGGTGCTTAGGTGGTGTAAGCCCCACTTACTGCTGGCTTTTGCAGTTAGCTCTTGCATAGCAAAACTCCAAATATACTCACAAAGTCTTATATGTGGTCGAGTTGGCTCCGTATCGGGAGGGGGCAATAGGTTTAAGTGCCCTTCTCGCCCCTGCGAAGCTGCGTGTGGGACCCAGCAGYGTGCGAGAGGCTTAGGGGACACAAAGCCACGTCCTGACAGCTCCAGCACGTCTGCTGGCCCCAGGTGCGTTCTCCTTTTTTCTTTCCCGTTTGTTTTTGGGGCGGTTTGGGGAGTTTTGCAACGCCACTGTGCTGTTCTCGGTGTGCCGCTGCTTGTGGCAGCCGGTTGTTTGGCAGCTTGGCAAAAAGGCTTGGCAAAAAGGCTTGTTTGTTGGGTCCGTTCCCCGCAGCAAAGTGACCCTTCTGGCCTCTTATTGCTCGGGCCCGTGGGAGGCGGATCGGGATGCTCCTCGGGCTGAGTTCATGGCAGGGATGAGCCGGTGCAGCGCTTCATGCACCAGGTTTTGTGTTAGAGGTGTGAGCGAAAGCGCCGCCTGAACGTGGAAGCCCTTTGGAGAATTTGTAAGGATTGTTGTGGAGAATTCCTGCACGTGCGGTGAAGGGATCCCAAGTGCTCTGAACTGAAGGATAAAACCTGGCGGGGTGTTGGTGGGGGAAGAGGTTTCTTTCCTTTCCTTACCATGGCAGGGAAAACAGGATGAACTGGGGTATGCAGAGGTCTGATGGGGAAGGCGGTTTCCTGTGTTGAATAGTTGAATGTTTGGAAAAGCAGAGACGCGGTCAATTCCGTGTGTAGAAATAAATATCAGATAGTTGGTTTCCTGCYGCCTGCATTCTCCTTTCCCCGTGGCTGGAGGAGGTGAGATCTCTGCGTCTGTGATGGCTGCTTCAGGCTTGTCACAGCTGGGATTGAGTGACCTAAAGAGCTATATAGCCAAATTGTGCTCCGTCTGTATATTCTGGTATGGAGATGATGTCTAGATGATCTTTCTTGATGTCTACATGATCTTAGTACAAGATGTGCATAACTTTCCTGCATATGCATTTCACTCGGGGGACTTGGCTTGTTTTGGTCTTTGGAAAATGTTTTCTTGCTTGAAAAAGCTTTGTAGTTCTGTTTAATGTGTAGAAATTAATAAAGACCAGAGAATTGGCTGAATTGAACGCTGAGGTAATAATCATGTCATTTTGAATTTTGTTTCAGTTTTTTTAA